ACAGGATGATAGGACATCGGCAGCATGACAGGCAATAGTAGAGAAAGGAGACACTGGACCTGACAGGTGGAGGAGAGAGAAAACAGATGCTGGTAGTCAGCAAGATATGTAAGGGAATTTTTTTTTTAAACGTACGATCTGCCTATCTTGGACAGGCAGATTGTACTTGCGATCATCGCAAGCCCGTCCCGTTAAGGGGCGGGCTTACGATGACTGCAATGCTGAATGGCCAGTGTGCGCTTGCGCACACCAGCCCGTTCGGCATATGTCTCCCGAGAACGCCACTAACCCGCAGACAATCGTACGATTCTCGGCGGGTTTTCAAGCCTGCTCGGGAGACAAAAGACTTGCGACCGTACAGTAGAAATGGTCGCACGCCTTCCATACACCTGCCGATTATCTTACGATAATCGGCAGGTGTATGGGCACCTTAAGGGTGATTAATGATGGGGTGGAACACAAAGTACATAGGGCACTCTAGATGGCCAGCAGCAGGGTACCAGCTAAAAGACTTCTGAATCACTTTTCAAAACTACCTAGTGCTGTGCAATCTCCTCCTCTAATGATCAGTGACCTTGTAATCTGCAACATCTGTGCAGCTGTGCATGTGATCTGGGCTGCTAGGTATCCATAACAGTTTTGTAGCCATTATCTCTCCCTGATGTGCAAACATTTGTGTCCCCCTGCAGCTGTACTGCAAACAAATTCTGGCTGTTGGGGCTGATGCTCATTTACAAACTTACTAATGTGCTTGCACCTAGCAAAATAAGCTCGGCTTACAGGTGAAGCTAATGGCTTTAGTGATCAGTAAACTTGCACTCTGCAAAATAAAATGATCACACCAATTACAGTACAACACACTTTCTTTAACATTCATTACATTGTATTATTTCTTCTTAATATAAAACTTGCCTCCACATGATCCTCCTGATCCTTGTTGATTGACACCAGGGGGGCCAATTAAAGAAGTTGGCTCTCTAATAGCGCTCATTATGCAATCAGCCCTGTCAATCAAAATCAGACTGACCTAAATGGAAGGGAACTATGGCCCTGAAGGTCAGTCTTGAAATAATTCTCACCCCTATATGACCCATTTATGACACTTAAGAAACCAACCCTGCTGTATCTTCAATCTCTGCAAATCTGTTTTCTAACAATCTCACATGAATTTGTTCCACACACACATACACCTCTTTCTGATTTGATCACAAACATTCAATCACTAGAACACACAAATCAATCAATCAATCTACTATCTAACACAAAAAACACACACATCAAATTTCGAAGTTCTTGATGTTGCAGTGTAAAGGTGCCCATACACTGCTTGATTCTCGTACGAGAATCGGGCGAAATCCCGCGATCGTACGAGAATCGAGCAGTGTGAACTAAGACGTGCGACCGTTTCTACTGTACGGTCGCACGTCTTTTGTCGAGCCAAAATGCTCGAAAACCCGCCGAGAATCGTACGATTCTCGGTGGGTTTCTAGCCTGCTCGCCCGATAGCTGCGGAACGGGCCGGTGTGCGCACGCGCACACTGCCCGTTCTGCATTGCCGTCATCGGAAGCCCGCCCCTCAGCGGGGCGGGCTTTCGATGATCGCAAGTACGATCTGCCCGTCCAAGGTGGGCAGATCATACGGGCTTTCAAGAGGCATACGACCATCGCAAGACAAAAGTCTTGCGATGGTCGTAAGGTGTATGGGCACCTTTAGGATTTTGCAACACTGTTATTACTTGGATATAGCTTTCAGTAGTATTGCAACAGTGTCTTAAACTGTATCCAGATTTAAGTTCATAGTGGAGTTCCAGAATTGTTTTTACTTCACTTTAGTTACATTCGTTATTACGGTTATTGACTGTTGCAGTTTGATTCATCAAATAAATGAATTATGGCTAGAAAGCTTTATACACCAGAGGAGGCTTTTCCTATTCTTGCCGAGACAGATTCAGATAGTGACTTAAGGTGTCCATACACCTTACGGATTCGAATAGTCGTACGATTTTCGTACGGCAGCCCCATCCTGCCACGATGATCGCAAGATTAATTTAGCCGTAATTAAGGAAAAGCACCTGGACGAAATGCGGTAATTGATTTGCCGTATTTTCCTTAGCGCAATCGCAGTGTAGATCGTATGACTTTTGATTGACGGAAGCGCTAGCAACCTTACGACAATGATCTAGCAAAGTTTTCAAACATGCTTGACCGTCAAAAGTCGTACGATTGTACAGTAATGTCGGTCGGACACTGCAATGCACACATACGTTTAACGGACGAAAAGTTTTGCAAATTTTTATGTTGCGCAATATTAGCGCAACTCCTTATTAAACCCCAACATTTAGTGAAAAATTTAATGAAATGCCCCAAAACACAACAAAATACCAATTTTTAAAATGAAATATAAAAGATGAGGTTACGAGTAAAACGATACCCAACATGCCCAGTTTACAAATTGCGTGCGTCTGTGAAACGGCGAAAAACTGCAGTACCCCAAAAAGTCCATAGAAGAAGACGTTTTAAAAGCCCCCACAGGTCACCAATTTAGAGATACCCCAAAATACTGGCCCTAGAATTATTGCTCTCACTCCGGCGTGCGCGGCGATACCCAACATGTGTAGCGCGTTCGTCGTTTTCATACGTAGGCGCACAAGACTTTATTATTATTTAAACTTTATTTTGACTGCCATCACATAGGGGGGCTTACAAGCCCCCCCATGTGATAGCAGATGGTGGTGACAGGTACTCTTTAAAGGTGATGCTGGGGGTCCAAAAGACTTCAATAGCTTATAGCTGGGCTCCAGGAGCCCAGAACTGACAGCCCAGGGACCGGAAGTGATGCAATCTGCATCGCTCCCATAGAACGGGGAGGGGATCGATGAACGGAAGTTCGTCGACCTCCTCCCCAGCTCCGCGGACACCAAGGAAGTCGGTCCCGGGCCCGTAGGAGGGGCAACGGAGCCCGGGAAGCACGGCAACTTTACAAGTTTAAACAGAGTCCCAGCGGCAATAGCCGCCGGGACTCTGTTTAAACAGCCCCGATGCTGGTGACGTACACTGTACGTCGTCAAGTCACAAAGGGGTTAAATAATTCCTCCAAAAGCTTCCAAATTCCAGCAGTGTATGACCATTATTAGAAACACCCAGTTATATGTTAATTCCTTTCTTTTTTTTTTTTAAACTCATTTTAATTTTTTTTTTTAAATGCAGTGTAACAGCATAACAGTCAAAAAACAAGACATTACAATACAATGCAATATAACACAATAGACGCTCTCGGACCATGGATCCCTCCCCTTTACTCACAGGCAAATACAGTTGTGTGAAAAAGTGGTTTGCCCCTTCCTGATTTTTCATTGTTTTGCACGTTTGTCACACTTTAATGTTTCAGATCAAACACATTTAAAATATTAGTCAAAGATAACGCAACATGCAGTTTTTAAAAGGAAGGTTTTTATTATTAACCCCTTCGTGACTGACGACGTACAGTGTACGTCGCCAGCATCGGGGCTGTTTAAACAGACTCCCGGCGGCTATTGCCGCCGGGACTCTGTTTAAATTTGTAAAGCCGACTGTCGGCTTTACAACAGAAGCGATCCTGGCGACTTACCTGTCGCCAGATCGCTTCTGTATCCCGAAGAAGGCCCCCCTCCGCCGTGCTTCCCGGGCTCCGTTGCCCCTCCTACGGGCCCGGCGTCCTTGGTGTCCGCGGGGAGCTGGGAGGAGGTGGACGAACTTCCGTTCACCGATCCCCTCCCCATTCTATGGGACCGGTAGCGATGCAGATTGCATCACTTCCGGTCCCTGGGCTCCTGCAGCCCAGCTATAAGCTATTGAAGTGCGATCCAGTGTATTTTCCCGCTTTCTATCCTCCCTGCTGGGCGCTGCTCTCTGTCCCAGCAGGTAGGAGAGAAAGTGACAGCCGGCCGAGCGCTGTGAGCGGCCGGTGTCTCTCCTCCCACACCGCTCAGCTGTCTGTCTATCACAGTCTGGCAGAGTGGTGTGGGGGTGGAGACAGCCTATGCTGTCACAGGAGGCTGGGCTTTTCTCCCTGCACCGCTCGCTCAGCCTCCTGTGACAGCGTGTCAGAAGAGAATGGTACAAACACTTGATCGCTGAGTGTTTGTACATAATTGAGGACATGGTATGTGGACTATATCCTCAACTATGAATGAATGGGAGAGATCTACATCACCTCCTGTTCATTCATGATTGTGGTTATAGTAAACACACTATGTTCTCAAGTTATCCATGAACAGAACACTCAGTAAAGAGGATTCCAGTTAATTGATAACAGGGGATACAGAAAAAGAGATTGAGGACTCTGTGTCCTCAATCTTTTTCTATTTTAAAAAGGGAAATATCAGGGGTCTGTTTAGACCCCTAATATTTCCCCAAAGCTCCTAAAAGTAAAGTAAAACATATTTAATAAAAAATGAATCAAAATAAACTATTTATTTACATTTTTTCAATTTGTTAAAACACATTTTCGGTTTGACAATTTTTTTTATTTCGGTTTTGGTTTCGTTTTTTAAATTTCTATTTTGGTGCTACCTACCTCCTCCTGGTAGCCGGTAAGTTCTATGGACGGGAGTAACTCCTACCACCCCTTTATATATTATTACGCTCAGTGGTGAGCCTCGCATAGGACTGCAGGCACTGCACAACAATATGTAGCACCCTGACTCTATAGCACGACCCCCCATTCCATGATTTATACTGGAAATCACCCGGACTTCGGGACACAGCACACATGGGCCCAAAGCAAGGAAAGAACATTGGGGGTGTACGTGGGGAAGAGACAACATACCGGTATCTTAGCCTAGTGCCGGGTTGTGAGGACAACCGGCTTAGGTCTCACCTGCCAGGAACAGGGCCGGCCCTACGACTCAGGCCCCCGCCCCACACTCGCCGCCGGCGCTGCATCCTCACCCATCTACAGGCCAAAACAGCGCCCTCAAGGAAAGAAGAGTATAAATGAACAACAGAAAAAGATTCTGTACCTTGGTGTCGGCCATCAGGCGGAGGATGGAGGCAGAATACGCGGAAATGCTCCGGGTTCTCTCAGATGTAATTTGCTCCCTCCTACTTGCCGCAAATGCCGTACGTACTATATCCTGCGTAACGTCATGCCGTCAGAGACTCTACCAAGATGGCTCCCCGTAGGCTTCAATGGTGCCGCAAAATGACGTCACATCCACCTGTTTGTTTAGTTACCCTTGCAACTCTGCAGAGGCTGTTCTCTGCGCATAGCACGTGTAACATGAGAAACAATGGTATTGACAACTCGTGAATTGACTGCGGGTTAAAAAAGCAGGTTGTAATAAAATTACAACAGTCAAGCAACAACTTCCGGCCATGGGAGGTTACGCACGGCGGCGTCCTGTTAGATGACGTCAGTAACATGGCTGCTCCCATGTGAGGGTCCCATGCTGCTCAGAGTGTTGGCGAGAGCAGGTAAATTAGACAGAACGAGCTTTTGCTTAGTTTGTGTTAGTGGTTTTTCTGTTGCTGGCACATGGCGGTATGCTCTTTGTACAGTGATTGTCTTCCAGTTGTGCTGATGTTAGTTTGCCGTAAAAAAGTAAACGTATTGGCGGGATTTATTCTTCATTGTTTAATGTACTGAGATAAATATAAAGACAGCCTTGACTTCTGAAAAGGCTAGTTATCAGCATGTCATATTCATCCTTTTGGTTACATATTAAGCATACATTTATATCAGGAAAGACACAGCGAAATCAAAACACCTGTTATTCTAGGTCAGTGATTCACAGAGTACTGGAAGTTCTGATTGCTGCAATGCCATGCGTTCCAGTGCGGTGCGATTGCAAAAAATGTTAATGCAGTTTTATTCTGAAGTAAACTTTGTAACACTGCATTTGTGTATTTTATTTTAAATTAAAGATTGTCTTTATTTTGTTTTATTTATCGAAAAAATTAATCTGCCAAATCGATTTATGAAAATAATCATTAGTTGCAGCCCTAGTGACAGCTGTCTTAAATAGGAATTCTCTTTCCTCTTTAGGCCCCGTTCCCACTGCGCGATATGCAAATTGCGCAACATCGCGTTCAAGCTTGCATTGCGGCTAAATCCGCTCCAAAAAGGGTCCTGCTGTAGCGACACACGACCCGCGACAGCAGGACCCTTTGCCCCATTGGATTGCATTGGAGCGCGATATCGCGCGGTAATTTGCCGCGCGATAAATCGCTCAATGTGAACGGGGTCTAAGGGAGCCTCCCATTTGCTTTTGTGTCTCCAGACAGAAAGTGAAGGGAGGTCTTCCCAGCACGTAGCCAACAGCATAAAAAATCAGAAAGTTTCTAACCCTTTTCCCTACTCTATCCAAAACAAAACCTATTCTGTAACTGTCGTGCTGCAGTCTGTGTGATTCACAAGCTGTTTGATTCCTAGTCAGACTGACATGAAGTTGATTCCCAAGCCTTTTAATTCCTAGTCAGACTGACATGAAGTTATCTTTGAAATAGAATTAGAGGCAGATGTACAACCAACATTCGATCCGGTTATGTATTTACGAAAAAAAAACTATAGGCAAAATAAAACATCATCAGAAATATCTGTGTTCACTATAATAAAACTGTGTACTTTCTATAATTTGTCACTTCCTGATTTATGTAAAAATGGAGCTAAATGCTCTGCAGTAAAGCTCAATCTACACATTTGCTGAATTGGCCAGAATTTTGAGTTGTGGGCGGCCAAAAGTTTGCCAGCCGAACAGTGACTGGATCCAATCTGATGCATTCACTGTTAGGGTATTACGGTAGTCGCCGGTGCTGGCTGTTTGAATACAATAGACAGCAGGTGGAGATTCCTCTCTCTTTGCTGTTTAGCATGGATGGGGCAATCAGTTGATTTCTGCTCATGGGTTGGATGTACCAAAATCTAGCTGTTGTAGCGGTTAGGACTACTGGGCTACCTGATTACGTACATTGAGGAGAAGGGCTTCCTGGTTACATACATGTTGTCAGCATTTTCAACTCGTTACACAGCTAGCTCCGTCCAAGGTATTGTGATTAACTGCACATCACCTGGGGAGAAGAGTGAGTGTGCCTGAAAAGCATCCTTAAGGTGCCCATACACTGCACAATTATCGTACGATAATCGTATGCGATCGGGTTTTCGTGCGATAATCGAGCAGTGTGAACGGAGACGTGCGACCGTTTCTACTGTACGGTCGCACGTCTTCTGTCGAACCAGCATGTTCGAAAACCAGCCGGGAATCGCACGATTCTCGGCTGGTTAGAACGGTGCTCGGAAGAAAAATGCCGAACGGGCCGGTGTGCGCACGCGCACACTGCCCGTTCAGCATTGCGGTCATCGGAAGCCCGCCCCTCAGGGGGGCGGGCTTGCGATGATCGAGAGTGCGATCTGCCTGTCCAAGATAGGCAGATCGTACGTTTTTTTTAATCCCTGTACAACCATCGCAAGACTAAAGTCTTGCGATGGTTGTAGAGTGTATGGCCACCTTTTAGAAAGTGATATCTGGACCTCTCCTGTCTCCAGAGAGTAAAGGCAGCACTGTAAAGTCAATCCCTCCATTGCTGATCTGCTTTACATTATCTGTCCATTCTCAGGCTAGGGATGGTCCTTGACCAAACTGCAGCGTAGAGATGTAAGATTAAGTTTCCGGGTAGCCTGTCCATGAGGGGTGAGTGAATCTCAAGAGTAGCTAAACATATTCCGAAATATTTTGGCAGGTCGAACAGATCATACATATGTAATTCATTTGTTTAATGGCTTGTCTACAGTTCTGCTTTAAAGCCCAGTTCCAGTCCGAAGCCTTATTAATCAATATTAAAGCAGAGGAGGCAGACCATCTGGCAACAACAGGAGTCAATATTTGCATCTTCCTGGTTTTTGAGAGTTCCTGGGCTGCGCTGCAAGAAAACCAACATGTAGGTGCCTGCTTTTCAGAGGAAGTGTACATTTCTCATGTAAACAGTAGGCATGGGTTTACATTTAAGTGTAACTCCAGACAAAAAATGATCTCCGAAATTGTTCTTCAATGTCCACGTATGTGTCTTAGTTTATTGTTTGAGGTGTAGAAATCCTCCATTTAACGTTAAAACAGCCAACAACCAACAGACACACATGGTGATCCCGTGTTCTCCCATCTTGTAAGGACATTTCTATTATTAGATGAACTGCACTGTGAAATGCAATATACATTGCTTTATTCATACTGCCTATTCCGATATGTTGGCAATTGTTGTAAAGAGGGGTTATTATCTCAAACAATTCATCCCCACACAGCTACCGTACCTCCTCATGTATCACTTGCCCCTCCCTTTTAGATTGTAAGCCGTCACAGGCAGGGACCTCCTTACCATCTTTTGGAACCCCTCGGTCCCTTTAACACATTTCAGTTGTATAAAAGTTTGATGATAATACCTTCAGTTAGAGAACTAGAAGGTGAGTGAAAATCAAGCTGACGTGCGACAATGAGACGGTCACAGGTTGGCTCAATAGATCGGGAAGTGAGCGAACACATACCGTCGCTCGCTCACTTCTCGATCATCTCCCTGCAGGGATCCCCCCGCTCTGATTCTCCAGCGCTGAGTGGAGGAACAGACGGGTGAGGGGGTGGGTACAGCTGGCTCTGCCTCTGGATAGGCAGAGCCAGCTGTCAATCACACAGCTGAGTGGATCTCAACAGTATTGTCAGGATCCGTCCCGTCTGCGGAGCTCTCAGTATATTGCAAGCTGTAGCTCACGATATCCTGAGCTTTGGGTCACGAGAGGATGCTAGTTTGTGTCCTCCTGTGACCCTAAAGAGAATATGAGGAAAAACATTTACCCCATAGTTCTCTTTTAAGCTCCAGACTTTCTGCATACATTTTGTATTGGCATAGATTTCAGTAACCCTGTTACACACCTTTCAGACGAAGTATATAATAAGTGCATAAAAAGAAGTTGGTATCAGCAAACCCGCATGTAAGAGAAGTCAGTAGGTATAGAAATCAAGGTGGCTCAGTTTATTTGTAAAAATGAAACAATGTTTTATCTCTGAATATTTTTTTTTTCCATGTGATTTGTGTTTTGGAACTCTGCAGGTTTGTGACAGGTACATCTCCTCAATAACCAGCCCTTGTGTTTTACACACTACAGTCACTCTCCTAATCTAATGAAGCTGATACAAAATCTTAGCAGTCCTTTTAATACCTCGGGGCTGCACTTGTGTATTTATGCATCAGAATATGGAATAATAGTTACAAATAAATCTAAATCATCCGTTTCTTTGCACTTTCTCTCTTTACTTTGGCTTGTAGGAGTAGCTGCACTGAAAGGTTTTGTGGATGTGGGAGAGTCTGTTTTAGGAACGATACACAGAAGCAGCAAGGTGTCACAGGCAAGCTTTCATCTCTGCTACAGGCCTAAAAGTTTGTGGAGCTGTACTCTTTCTTCTGAACAATGCACACAGAAAACAAAGCGTAGACACGGGTAAATATTTGCTCATGATCAGTTGTACTACATTTTGTGGGTTGAGCTTTTTCCTAAAGTATATGTCTAGGCGTTGCACAAATGTACCTACAAAACCCTCCATCTCCCACTCTAGATCATGTCACAGGTTTCTCCTGTGACATGAGCTTTGGGTCCTCCTGTGACCCAAAGCTCAGTATATCACGAGCTACAGCTCGCGGTATACCGAGACCGCCGCAGCCGGGGCAGATCCCGACAATGCTGTCAAGATCCACCCAGCTGCTTGAATGACAGTTGGCTCTGCCTATCTAGAGGCAGAGCCAGCTGTACCCGCCCCCTCCCCCGTTTTGTTCCTCCAGTCAGGATCGGAGCAGGGAGGGGGGAATCCCTGCAGGGAGCCGTGACTGACATGATCGAGAAGTGAGCAAGCGACGGTATGCGTTCGCTCACTTCCCGTGTCACAGTTTCATTGTCAAAATAGGCTTGAACTATGAGGATGAGTGATTTTCACTCACCTCACAGTTCACCTTTTTTAAGCATTTTTTTCACACGTGCATTGAGAATTTAATGAAAGAGCAACACTGATTAATGCACTTATAGTGTTTACAAGGCATTCGGCAGACATTTTCAAGGCATTAAGAGGCGTCAACAATGCATGCAAAATGCCCTGCAAGTGGGGAAGTGATGTAATAAAGGGAAGAGAGCAGCTTTGAGGTGTGCTTAGGCTGTGGTGAAATTTACAGGCATTTTGTTGGTTTTATGTACTGTGTATTTCTGGTTCTGGCTGGTACTTGCAATGCCTGGCAATGGTATGGCTGGCACTGCTTTGGATGACATGGGTAACAGCTGGCACTACAGGGTGGCATAGGTCAGGCTTTCACAGGTTGAAAGTACCTGGTTAGAAGCTGTCCTCTTGCTGGCAGGATGTGGCACCTGCTCTGTCCACTTACTCTGTGATTCCCCAGTGGTTTCTGGGATTGCAAAACCTCCTATGCCTCTCCTAAAACACCTGTGCAACGTGTCCGAAGTGCCCAAAAAATGCTATAAGAGCTTCGACCGAGCATTTAAGGGGCATTTCAATATACTTCAATGGAGGCATTTGTCCAGAACGCAATATGCACTCTATCTTTTTACCACACAGCTACAAAGCGCAACGCTAACGCCCATGTGTGAACTGCACTGGGTGGTTGCTATTGCATTATCCCACATGATAGGTGGCAGAGAGGCTTTAAAAATGCTTCTCTAATGTCTCCGTACGACGTACGTCCTTGGCAGCGAAAGGGTTAAACACGTGTGGAAGAGGCCTAAGACACTGGATTGTCGGCTCACTAGGAAGTTAGGATGCACCAAGACACTGCATATTCAGCTCAACAGGAAGTTAGGATGTATCAAGGCACTGCATTGTCTGCTCACTAGGAAGTTAGGATGTACCAAGGCACTGCTTTGTCAGCTCACCAGGAAGTTAGAATGCATCAAGGCACTGCATTGTCGGCTCACCAGGAAGTTAGAATGCATCAAGGCACTGCATTGTCTGATCACCAGGTAGTTAGAATGCATCAAGGCACTGCATTGTCGGCTCACCAGGAAGTTAGGATGCACCAAGCCATTAAAAAATTACTTCTCTGCAGTTTTCTCCAGTGCTGGAATAGCTGAATGACGGCAGCACCCTACAGCATAAGCTTCCTCACAGAGACTTATATTGTAGAGAAGGGAAGGTGGTTTGTCAGACCAGGGGGGTCATTTATAATGGAGAGCATGGCTATCCAGACTTTCTTATACTCCACTTGGCTATGCACACCACAGCCTCTAGTAGACCAGAGCAATTTTTACATTTCTACTATGGGCCTGTTTGTTGGCAAAAACTTGATAGTTTCTATAGTTTATTATATGATTGTATTATATAGATAGTTACATAGTTTCTATGTAAACTATAGCCCAAAAAAGTTTTATTTTTGACCAGAGTTAGGTTTTTTTTAAGTAGTTTACTGTAATAAAAAGTGTACATTGTATTCTGCTATTTGCCCTGTTTTGTTTTTTTTAAATGACAATATGTTTCTGGTGTACAGTGTGGCAAAGTTCATTGCAAATGAGAAAAAGGCTTTCTTTTTATTTTTCAGTTATGTTTTTTTTTTTGCAACACTGAAAAAAAAACCAAAACAAAAATGGTAACAAAAAAGAAATAAAAAAAAAAAAAAAAACTTTTTTTTTGTTGCTAATTACAGTCCAGCATCAAACCCAAGAGCTGAATTGATCAGCTCCGGGGCTTGTAAATTGCTAATGAGCACTCATTAAGACCGGTGGAAGTGCGGAAAGGTACATATGGCCTCTCAGCAACAACAAAGCCACAAGTGGTTGCCCCCAGTATAAATGGGTTACTATCATTTTCCCCCTGAAAGGTGCCTGACTATTATGGTGACCACCTGGGTTAGGGCATATAGAAGATTTGCTTCTTATTTGTCTGGGCCTTCAGGGCACTTCTCCACCCTGGCAGTCCAGTTTTTTGTTGGAGGGATACGCCACATTATTTTTATGTTTAGCTAGGAAGGATCATAGAATGTAATGTAAAATTGTTACCTTCAATTACTTCTCTCTTGAATATGTTTATTTTCCAGAACAGAATTAAAAATGGAAGGTATTGAGGCAGATGGAGGTTGCCCTAAACAACTAGAGCAATCTAGCAACACTGAAAATGATAACAAGGGAGAAGAACAAGTGAAAGCTGACACTGTGTTGAGCACAGATAAAACAGGACCAGACAAAGATGATACCGAAGATGGGGAATGTGCTTCAGGAGCTGGTGACAGTGCAGCTAAGGTGGATAACAGTACCATGGATTCTGAAGACACTGGAATCTACAGATATATCAAAGATGATCTGTTCACATCAGAGATTTACAAAGTAGAGATACAGAACTTACCGAAGTACATAGGCTTTAACGACATCAAGAAATTCCTTGCCAAGTATGGATTAAATCCTCATAAAATAAAGCTCATTCAGAAACAAACTTTTGCATTCGTGATTTTTAAAAGTGAAGAGGAAAGGGATAAAGCCATGAAAGTTATACATGGAGCAATGTGGAAAAACCGAGCCCTAAGTGTCCGGCTTGCAAAACCAAAGGCGGATCCCATAATGAAGAAGAGAAAACAGGAAGAAGATGACAAGGAGCAGCCTAATTCTAAGCGTCCTGCTGCACAGGAGAGTGCCGAGGAGGAGCCTCTCAGTAAGCAGATTGCAGATGTGGTGACTCCTTTATGGCAGGTTCCATATGAAGAGCAACTGAAAATGAAGGAACAGGAATGTGAACAAGTCCTCCAAAGGCTAACAAAGTAATTGTTTCTCTGTCTTGTTACTCTAAATCAAATTCACACTTCTGACATCATTATTATTATATTGTTATACAGTATTTAGATATAGTGCCAACAGTTTGCACAGCACTTTACTCAATACATGGAGACAGTGCAGTTACAATACAATATGATGCAATTTACAGCCCAAATGGAGGTGAAAATCTGTCCTCAGCCAGACAAATCTTAGATTTGCTCTGTTCCCTGGAAAGATTATTCTTCAGTGTACTGTTGCTTCTTCATTGGCTTATCAGTAGGCCGACGTATGTCCTAAACTACACAGTATATTTTGAGAGAATGCTTTTTCTGCAAGGCAAGAGAATAATCATGTGACCCTAGATTAAGAAAAGATGCAGTCAAGTGACATGACGGTGTCTCCTCTAAACAGACCTTGGGCAGGCAGCTAAACAAATGAAATGCATACATGGCAAATTGTTTTACCTGACAAAATATTTTCTGTGATCCAAGCAACACTACTAGACAGTACAACCAGGTCTTGACCTCCCCTGCAGCAGCACAACTTCGTCAAAACACACCCCCATCTGGCTGAGTGGACAATGAAGGAGCAGGTGCACACTGATTTGATCATCCCTCTACTCCAGGGGTGCCCACAATTTTTCGCCTGGACATCTACTTTTCAAATGACGAGCTCAATGAGATCTACCAACGAAAAAACACGTGCATTCACGGGCAGGAGGGGGCGTGGCAGTGATTTGAAGTCGACCGTCCCTCTCTTCTCTCTCTCCTGGCGCTCTCTCCTCTTTCTCCCCTGTTTCTATCTGCTGTCTCTTCTCTCACTTTCTCGGCTGTCTCTCTCTTCTGTCTGTCTTTTCTTACCTCCACTGCAGCAGCTTCCAAAATCTCCTCTCTCCTTCCCGTCTGCGGCATCTGACACATTCAGCCGCACGAGCACCGCGGGAGGACAGGACACAGGTCAGTGAGCCGATCGCGATCTACCAGTGTTCGCTTTGCGATCTACTGGTAGATCGCGATCTACCTAATGGGCACCCCTGCTCTACTCGCTCTGTTCTTTCCAGCTGACCGCATGTTCACGGTCAGCACATGTGCACGTAGCAGAGCCTGATTGGCTCAAATCGCAGAACCTACCTCCTCCAGCCTAAGTGCTGTTGTACAGGGCGATGAAATGAAGTAAAATTCAGATGCTTATGCTATTTGAATGTAAAAAGATGAGATTTAGTCTACACATTACTGCAATAATTGTTGTTTTTATTATTGCCTGAAGTTCGCCTTCAACCATTGAGCGTGTTGCTTCTTCCTGCAGGGAGATTGGGAATACCAACAAGGCCTTATTACCATGGCTGTTTGCACAGAAGCAGAAGTATAACAAAGTTTGCTGTCCTTTAGAAGGAGTGAAACCTTCTCCAGCACAGGTACAGATACTCTTTGAATAGCTCATGTACATTTACATGGTTCACACTGTATGTTGTGTATGTATGCGTCTCTTCCTGTGTAGCTAACGTTTCAGATTTAAAGGAAAGCAAAGGCAGATATTTGGAAAATATCTGACTTCACATACTAAATGTAAAATTGTCTTATCTACTGTCCCCTCTGCGGGCCCGGGACCAGCTCGGCGGCTCTCAGAATGAAGATGGGAAGGAGAACAGCATTCACCCACCTGCTGATCTCTCCAATCTCTGATGATGGAAGTGGTGTGTATTACATCACTTCTGCATTCGGCTGTCATTTCTCTGGCTGCTAAAGCCAGAGAAGAAGCTGGTGAAGCAGACATTAGGTGACATTAAGGGTCTTGGAGACCCCTGATGTCTCCATAAAGGAGACCTCTCAGTTTTCCTGTGCGATAACAAAGGGGGTTGTTAGCCCTCTATATGATGGCAATAACATTACGTGTAAAATTTAAAAAAAAAAGAATTTAGAAAAAAGAATTACAAAAAATATATATGTATGTGTAAAAAAAAAAAAAAGTAAAAATTTTTAAGGCCCCCACGTATACGCATGTGCAAACGTAAATGCGCATCGGGTGTGCCAACGCTCAAAAACAGCAATTGCAACGCACATGTTGCATATCACCACGAACGTTGGAGTGCGAGCAATAATTCTAGGGCCATCAATCACTGATAACAGTAAACTGATGAGAGGTAAAAGCTTGTAAACTGATGAGCGGTAAAAGCCTGTAAAGTGTTGCCTATTGCCAATTTTGGGTATTACAGTTTTTTTATGGGCGTACGCAATTTTAAGGCTTGACATGTTTGGTGCCTATTTACCCAACATGACCCCATGTTTTATATTTTACCAAAAATTTGGATAGTAATAAATGTTTCATAAGGTAGGGGAAACAGTTTTTTTTCCCCCCAAAACATTTTTTATATTTTTTTCTTAATATAGTAAAAATAAACCACCCCCCCATGTATAATTTTACACTTTCCATTTCACAATATTGCACACCACACTTTTTTTTCCTTTTTTTTTTTAATTCCACCGCTCCAAGCTTACTCCAGTGATGGAGTGCAATCTCAATACAAACTAGTAGTCCCATCAGTGGAGCCATTTTTTAACATTTATTTTATTGTTTATCCGATTAATCGAACTTAATAATCGGCTAACTAATCGATTTTGAAAATAATTGTTAGCTGCAGCTCTATTTACCACCCTAGTCTTCAAGTAGTTAAAGTTCATTGAGCTTCACATACTTAAACAGTGTATTTAGCTGTCCACTTTAACTTGTCAGGAAGAGTAATTTACACAGGTAAGCTAATTGCAGTGAAAAAACATAGTACAATAAACAGGTCTATACAAAGGTAGACCACCTGCAGATTTTTGCCCTTGTATAAAATAAAGCAGTTTAGGCTGGGTTCACACCTAGGCGTACGGAATATGCGTGTTTTTACCGTGACAAACACGCGTTTCCGAGCGCTATTTGGCTGTATCCTAATGGATACGCGCGGCAAATACGCCCCAAAGAAGCTCCTGTATTTCTTTGGGCGTAGGGCATTTTGCAGCGCGTTCCTACGCGCTGTAAAACGCCCAGGTGGGAACCATGCCCATAGACCGTCATTGGTTTTCACATGTTGAGCGTTTTACAGCGCGTCGGAATGCGCTGTAAAATGCCTAGGTGTGAACCAGGCCTAAAGTGGAACTTAAGGTGTGCTAAGGTGTATGTCCACTTGGCAGGGGGTAGTCTAAGCTGCATTAGATAACAAAAGATCAAAGTTGCTAAGTGGTTATTGGTCTTCTAGTACTTTCAACGTGTGTGCTAGATTGAACTCCCGGGTTTTGTGTGGAATCTCCGTGTAGGAGAGTTGGCTTCCCTGAGCCACAAATCTAATGAGCTATGGGTCCTGATGACTAACCAGACAAATAGTTAGAGGGTTATCAGCTTTGATCAAGTTGGTATGGTTCCTTTTACAAAACGGTAACCAAAACAAAATACCTTTTTTTTTTTTTTGCTGTATGAATACAGACATTACTGACATTACTGATAATGTAATTTTGATTAAATAGATTTTGATTTTGATTAAATAGAAACTGTTGTAATTGAAGGCTTAACATTTGTAAAATAAAGTTTATTAACCTCTTGCCGTCCGCCCGTTAAGAAAAAACGGACGGACGGCAGACTCGCATCAGCGGGTTGCCGTCTCCGGCCGGCATTTTTTTCCTGCTCGCGCACACGGGCAGGAAAGACCCGCTCGTTACTACATACATATTCACATACAACCGATCAGTGGCTCTATAGCCGCCGATCGGTTGTATGGCGTGAATTTCGGAGCTCCGGGATCCGCTAGCCCATCTGCGGCCTGGGACCGGCTCGGGAGGGCGTCAGGAGGAGGAGGGAGGGAGTCAGCTCCTTGCTGTTCTCCCTCTGTAGTGTGAATGCAGAAGTGATGTGTATTACATCACTTCCGCATTCACCTGTCAGTCATCTGGCTGCTATAGCCAGAGAGAAGAAGCTGATGAAGCAAATCTGTGCTTCATCAGCTTCTTTTGGGGTCTCCAGGTGACATTAGGGGTCTGGAGACCCCTAATGTCTCCATAAAGAGGACCTGTCAGTGTACCTGTGCTATTATATCGCAATAACAAGTGTCAAAAAAAATCTATATAAATTTCATTTCAGTACAGCGCTGCATGACGGAATAAATGTCAGTCAAAGTACCGCAGCGCTGAATACTGAAAAATGGCCTGGATGGGAAGGGGGTTTTAACATCGCGGATGTCAACTGGTTAAGGAAAATCAAAGTAACAGTGAAGCTTTTGCAATCTGTACCTGTTACTCACCAGTACTGCCCACCAACCAGTCCTCTTCTGAATCCCCATCAAAAAGCCAGGGCTTTCCAGTAGTGGCACATGTCTACCTGCAGATTGGTCAGTGCTGGCATGGTAAGAGCAGGCACCTTATTAATCTGCCTTATCAAACTAGCCGACGTCACTATGCACAGACTGTGTCATGTTGCTAGAGATAGATCACAGCTCAGGGAGCAATGGTCTTTGTCTTCAGCCTGATGCTGGGATTCTGCATTTTGGGCTGATGCTTGAGCAAAATACAAAGAAAAGTGAGACAACTTTTTGTTTTTTGCTCTGTTTAGCATGAAACCACAATTGAGCTTTCAACGTTCTAAAACAACTGAAAAAAATGCTTAATAGCACAACACCAATCCATTAAAAACTTGTAGTAGTAAGAGTTGGAACTGTTACTTTAAATTGTAAGCATCCACCTTTCTTTTCCTGTCATCAGTCAGAATACCGAAACAAAAGTGAATTTCTGATCGGCATTGGTGCAAATCAGGAAGATAAAACGGTGGGCTTCCGTCTAGGAAAGTATAAGGGTGGAACTTGTGCCGTTGTGGAGCCATTTGATACAGTTCACATACCTTCGGCTGTGAAGAAAGTTGTAAAGGCTTTTCAAGAATATATCAGGTATTGTCACTTTTCTAATGCTCTGCCACTAATGAGTAAAATCCAGCTACTTAAAGTGACGCTAAACTCAGGAGTTAAATCTTAAAAATTTATTCAAGTACCTTAATTATTAACAAAAATGTATCTTATTTGTGTATCACTCAGCTATAGATCCTCAAATCATCTCTGAATTGGTGCTGACACTGTCCTTCCTCCTGGAGGGTGGCTACTTTTGTTCCCGATTGGTCCCTGTGTGTGTTGTAAAGTAGCCACCGCTCCAAGCTCGCTCATAGCTCGCACCCATATTGGACTACAACTTCAAAACAAATTTTTTAAACGAAGCGTGAGATTATAGTCCACCACAGGAGCGAGCTTGGAGCGGTGACAACTTTACCACACACAGGGACCATGGGGAACAAAAGTAGTCACCCTTCAGAAGGAAGGACAGTGGCAGCACCAATTCAGAGATGATTTGAGGATCTACAGCCTAGCGATACACAAATAAGATACATTTTTGTTAATAGTTAAGATACTTGAATGCATTTAAGATTTAATTCCTGAGTTTAGTGTCACCTTTAAACTGGATCTCCACTTAATATCAATACCATTCCACAAATGTATCCTCCTTTCGTTCTCTAATTGTAAAGTTTACTCAGTAGGTTAAACTGAAATATATTCGCAAAAAATTCAGAGCAGCAACTCTTATTTGACTTCTCAGCCTGAAGTCTCAGTCGTGGTGAATACATTGCTCATCAAAGCAGGCAGTAGCTGTGTTGTTTCTTTACCTACCTATGGTGTGTATATATTATATTTATTTGCACACACACACTGCTGAGCAATAGTAATATATATATATATTGTTACAGGGGGAGCTCAGAAAAACTGCTGTTAATGTTAGTCACAGACTAAATCATGCTGTGTATGTACTTGTTGATTTTGCCCAGCTTACTTAAGCTGTCCTGTCACATCAATGTAATGTTGGATATAACATGAGCTGTGTCGGGACATTTGTCATGCATATTGTGTATTTCCTACAGGACTACATCATATGGAGTCTACAGCCCAGAGACATATGCAGGCCACTGGAAACAGCTGACTGTCCGTAGCAGTAGGAAGGACAATGTCATGGTCATTGTATACTTTCATCCTCAGGTATACAATCCATTGTCTGTGCACCAAGTTTCTGTGAAGTGTTACTACACAAGGTAAATTCTATCTAGGGCCATTTTCACTTGTCAGCACCATCTAGGGAAACTGTGCTTTAACTACAAATAGTAACATGTCCCTGGGAGTCATGCCTGTTACCGGCAGTCTTGCAATGCCTCATGGGACTTGTACTTCCACAACAGCTTGAAGGCCAGAGTTGTCCACCCCTGATCTAGGGGCACTAGTGCCATGCAAATGGCATTCATCTGGCTGTATGGTGGGTGACATTTTTAATAAAGCCCTGTATTGCATATACGCTTTTCATAACCTGTGAGCCACATGAAGGGCTCATCTTTAACTATGAAGAATCATCTTATCAGTTTTCTTAAAGCTTTTACCCCCATACACTGAGATTATCACACATTTGAATTGTTCTGCTGTATAACTACAAAAATGTAATCCCACAGATTTGTATATATTTTTCACAGAAACTAAGCAAGGAAGCCCTGGCAGATTTAAAATCCTCTCTGGCAGCCTTTTTCTCAGAGGGACCTGGAAAAGAAAGCGGCATCACCTCCATTTATTTTGTCGAGGAAGGTCAAAGGTTGGTTGGTTTTTTTTTTTTTAAATGTATAACTGGATACATAAAACTGAACACTAGCGTGCATTGTGGTGCAGGGTGTCAGAGAAAAAGCTGCTTGCCCAGTTTTTGGTTTGTTGGCCCGTTCCAAATGAATGGGCTGCTTTATTGCAGCACGTATAAATGCGTGACACAATGTGCATTAATGCACAAGAAGGGAGAAGTGTGAATGGGCCCCTTAATATTTTTAGTACAGACTAGTTAAGGGATTTCTAACCCAAAAATAATGATGTAATATATTGCAGAATAGCAGTCCCTAGATGTTGCAGCCACATTCTTTTTTCTGCCATTAAACACTTCCTGCCCTGGGGTGACAACAAGGAATGCACCTGTACTAGTATCGGTGCCGATACAGAGTATTTGGGCGAGTTCTCGTCCAAGCGCTCCGATACTTCCCTCCAATACCGGAACTTCCGGTCAGAGGGAGATTTCCCTCTAACTGCCACTGCTGAGGGAGCATGGAGCCGGCTTCCTTTCCAATTAGGAAGCTGGTCAATGGGTTATGACCCAGCCTCCCGGCTTCCTGATTGGTCAGGCTTCCTATCAACAAGTGAAACCGGCTTCCTAGCCAATTAGGAAGCCGGGTGGCATGTCATGACCGGCTTCCTGATTGGCTATAAAGCCGGCTTCAATCGGGAACCCGGGAGGCAGGTCATGACGTGCCGTCCAGCTTCCTAGGTGGCTAGGAAGCCGGCTTCACTTGTTGCTAGGCAGCCTGGCTTCCTGACCAATCAGGGAGCTGGACGGCATGTCATGGACCCCCCCAATGCCCGGCTTCCTGATTGGTCAGGCAGCCTCGGCAAGTGAAGCCTGTGTTCTTTCGATAGAACACTGGCTTCCCAAGCAGTCAGGAAGCCAGGCGACTGGTCTTGATCCACTGCCTGACTTCCTGATAATTGGGGCACCACTATCGCAATTCGGTATCGGCAACTACTGGAAAAAAATACAGTTTTTTGGTATCAAGTACCAATATTTTTTTCCGGTACTCGCCAAGTACCAATACCGGTGCACCATCCCTAGTGACATCACTCAAATCACGCGACTATCAGAAAAACAGATATAGGACATTACTACAGAAACCTCCTCCTCTCCTCTTTTTCGTAACATGGATGTGAGGGGCTCTGTAGTCTCGAGAACAATGTATCTAATAAGAGTGCTGCACAGGAAGTTACCAAGGCTTCTGACACTTATTAAACAGATGTAACAAAATGCTTTCAATAGTATATTTAAAAGATAGAATGGGACCAAATAAGTTAATTGTTAAAGTTTCCATACACTTTAAAGAAAGTTTTTCATCTTGTAGAAAATCCCCGAACCTGGAGGACTTGCCTGTGGAGCACGTGAGTGGGGAGAAGTACATCCACGAGGAACTGCTGGGTCTTACTTTCCGCATTTCACCTCATGCCTTCTTTCAGGTAAATCGTATTGAGCAGCTACATTATTAGGAAAAAAGAAATCCGACCTTTTTGTTAATCTGAAACCTTCACAGATGATCTCTAAATCCTTAAGGTTTCTTGGCTGTTGCCTGGCAACTCGAAGTTTCAGCTCCCTCCATAAATGTTCTATAGGATTAGGGTCTGGAGACTGGCTAGGCCACTCCATGACCCTAATGTGCTTCTTCTTGAGCCACTGCTTTGTTGCCTTGGTGGTATGTTTTGGCTCATTGTCATGCTGAAAGACCCATCCACAACCCATCTTCAGTGTTCTGGCTGAGGGAAGGAGGTTCTCATCCAAGATTTTACAATACATGGCCCCGTCCATTAGCACCTCAATGCGGCAAAGTCGGCCTTTACCGTTAGCAGAGAAACAGCCCCAGAGCATAATGTTTCCACCTCCGTGCTTGACTGTAGGGATGGTATTCTTTGGGTCATAGTCAGCATTTTTCTTCCTCCAAACACGGTGAGTGGAGTTAATGCAAAAGAGCTCAATTTTAGTCTCATCTGACCGCAGCACTTTCTCCCAATCCTTCTCTGAATCATTTAGAATGATGTTCATTGGAAAACTTCCGACGGGCCTGTACATGTACCTTGTTGAGGAGGGGGACCTTGTGGGCGCTGCAGGATCTCAATCCATGGCAGTGTATTGTGTTACCAATGGTTTGTTTGGTGACTGTGGTTCAAACTGCTTTGAGATCATTCACAAGCTCCTCCAATGTAGTTCTGGGCTGATCCCTCACTTTTTTCTCATGATCATCCTTACCCCATGAGGCAAAATGTTGCATGGAGCTCCAGACCAAGGGCGATTGATGGTTATTTTGTATTACTTCCATTTGCAAATAATCGCTCCAACAGTTGTTTCCTTCTCACCAAGCTTCTTGGTGATAGTCTTGTAGCCCATTCCTGCCTGGTGCAGGTCTACAATCTTGTCTCTAATGTCCTTTAACTACCTCCTGGCCAGCCGCTGTGTATACACGGCCGGCCGGGAGCTTCTTGGATGTAACTGGGCGTGTATACACGTCCTGTTACATCTGCCCGCTCGGGCGCGCGCACAAGCGGGAGTTCCCCGCTATTTGAAAAGAGGCAGCGATGCCCGTTAATATACAAGCCATCCGCCGGCTATAGAGCCGGCGGATGGCTTGTATGAGGCCCCGAGACGCAGGGCCGGCCTTAGGCCTTTAGGCGCCCTGTTGGGCATTTCCCGCTCGCGAGCGCCCAGCGGTGCGCGCGAGGGGGCGTGGCTGAGCGGACGTCTAAAGACGCCCGCTCAGATCTAGAGAGCTCCTGGCCGGCCGTTTTTTTACAACAGCAGGCCGGGTAGTGGTTAAAATCATTTATAAAATGTTTTCATTTATTTTTTTACTGTTGGGGGGGCTTTGGGAAATATTAGGTGTTTCTCAGCCCCCTCTGTGATAGCAATAAAGTTAAGTGGAAAAAAAAATGTAACGTTTGCCCCCAAATTTTTTTAAAGTCCCCACCCCTACATACACGCATGTAAACATGCGCCAGCTGCGCATACCTGCGTCGGAATAAATGTCAGTCAAAGTACCGCAGTGCTGAACACTGAAAAATGGCCTGGTCAGGAAGGGGGTGTAAACACCGCAGACTTCAAGCGGTTAACAGCTCTTTGGCCTTGCCCATGGTGGTGAGGTTTGAATAGAAGAAATAGATTCTGTGGACAGGTGTCTTGTATTTACATAATGAGTTGTCGTTAGGAGCACCTTCTTAAAATGACAGGACTAATCTGTGTACCACATAGCCAGTCTGTGGGAGCCAGAATTATTGTTGGTTGGTTGGTAGGGGATCAAATATTTATTTTACTCACTGAACTGCAACTCAATTTATAACATTTGTACCGTTTTTTTTCTGGATTTTGGTTGATTATTCTGTCTCTATCATTTAAAATACGCCTATGATAAAAATGAAACCAAACTCGGAGTATCTGTGAGGCCCGTAAAGCTAGAAACACATAATTCCCCTTCTGAGCCATTCATAAGCATATCAAATTTAGTGTCTACAGGAGGCTAATGTTATGACACCCTATAATTTAGAGGTTATCAGATAGTTATATGTAAGACTAATAATGTTGATGGTTAAAGGAGAACTATGAGGTGAGTGCTTCTCACTCACCTCATAGTTCTAGCCGACCTGTGACAATGAGACTGTCACAGGTCGGCTCAGTAGATCGGGAAGTGAGCGAACATATACCGGCGTTCGTTCACCTCTCGATCCTGTCACGGCTCTCTGCCGTGACAGGGGAGGGGCTGGATTCCCCCCTCCCGGCTCCGATCCGCCAGCGCTGACTGGCGGATCGGACGGGGGAGGGGGCGGGTATAGCTGGCTCTGCCTCTAGATAGGCAGAGCCAGCTGTCACTCACGCACCTGGGCGGATCTCGACATCGATGTCGGGATCCGCTCCGGCTGCGGCGTCTCAGTATACCGCAAGCTGTAGCTCGCGGTATACTGAGCTTAGGGTGACGGCTAGTTTGTGTCCTCCCGTTACCCTAAGGAGAACTTTGGGGAAAAGCCCTGACCCCATAGTTCTCCTTTAAGGAATTTAAAGTTTGGGAGGGGCAGAGGAGAGAATTATAAAATATTTAGCCCTCCTGCTCACCCTCCCTGGGCCTTCCTAATTGGCTTATGGGCCAGCTCAGGGACAACCCCTAGAGGACAGTCAAAAAGCAGGGCACCCAGGAGGGCACTAACACCAAGAGGCTCTCGTAACATCAGAAGGAGAAGCTTGTGTAACGTCCAAGAACAGTTTCCCTTTAACATAAAGAAAGAGTCTTTGCAAGCCTTACTTGGAGAAGGAGCCATTGAGAGCCATCTTCTGTTGCATTCAACTGGACTGTGTCAGAACTTACAAAACTCAGGACTGTTAAGTATTCTTAATTTTATTGCCTTTTTAGTTTTGTTGCTGATATATATTTTTTCCTACAGAGTATCTTTCATTAAAGGACGCTCCCCGCAAGGATTCCCCCCTCCTCTCTCCGATCCTCCTGCACTGAGTGGAGGAACGGAGGGGGTGGGCACAGCTGCCTCTGCCAGAGCCCGCTGTCACTCACGCAGCTCGACCGTACTGTCGGGATCCGTCCCGGCTGCGGCACTCTCAGTATATCGTGGGCAATAGCTCGCTGAATACTGAGCTTTGGGCCACGTTAGGCGGTTGGTATATGTCCTCCCGTGACCCTAAAGAGAACTAAGGGAAAAAACATAGTTCTCTTTTAAGCTTATCTCTATGCGCTGTATAAGAACTTAAAATATCCTTGTCTCAGTGAAGAGCACTACTGTATAGTGTAACCTGTCATATTTCTGTCAGAGGACAGCGGTATCATAGGCTTTGTATACGTTTTGAATTGTCACAGCACTTGCTGAGAATGGCGCATGTTTCTGTTAAAACACATGGTGGCAGCTACTTTTTTCTGTGTGAAGGGTTAACAGGAGTTAACCAATCGTAGTGACGATTGCTCTGTCTGCTGGCCTGACATTGTTGTCCCGTGAGCTGGGAAATCTCTGTGCAGGGTGAGGCTGAGAGTGGTCTTGCCACGTCCTTGTGACGGCTCGGTCAGTTCGGAACTGCGTATAGCCCTGTGTTATTGAAGTACAATGGGTTTGGACCGGCACATCTGTCACATATTTCTGTCGCAATGCATGACGAGCAAGGTTTTTTTGTTGTTGTATGTGCTGACATCAACAAAGCGCTTAGTTTCTTCCTCCTTGACAGACACTTGTATATTTAGTGCTCTGATATTTGGCCTCATTCATTATATGTCTCAAAGTAGACTTTTTTTTCTATTACAGCGATTACATTCCATGCTTAGATTTGCAGATTCTCTTATGTGGCTGTTTAAGTGGCAGATGATTTCAGTTGGTGCTCTTGCAGAACTAATGAACCAAGAATGTCCGTTGTTCATGTCTATTACTTTTTACCATTTGTTTTTTTTCTCTTCATGTTTCCACTTTTGTAGCCAAATTGGCATAATAACTACTTTACATTTCTTACATGTTCCCATTCACATAGTATAACTTTACAAAAAAAATTAAAATTGCAGCTTAATTTTTTTTTTTTTTTCTTTCTGCTGTAAAATGCTGCTTAGATCTCACTGTCGGAATGGGGGGAGTTTTGCTTTAAATCATTAACCCTGTCTGTACAGTGCTGGCAGATTTTATTTTATTTTTTTAATCAGTTGTAAACTAAATTGGGGGGGCTCAGTCTGTTCTAAGTCTTTCTATTAAGACAGAGTTTCTGGGTACTGATGCTTGGAAAAGCTTGATATATTTCTAGGTATGCTGTGTGACTAGGAACATATAACAAACATATAAAGGGGGATTCTCAATTTTGACTGCAAAAGTGGAAAAACACTTCAAGCAGAGATTTTAAGCAGTGGAGCTCAATTACTGTGCTTCCATACTATGCAGAAAACACAGCCTGCCTGCACATGTGATGAACAAGTAGGGCTGGCTCATGTACATATAACATTTAAATCTGTAATCGTATTTACAAAAAGCCAATCACATTTGCAGTATGCATTAAATTAAATTCCGGTTCTCTAAGAGCTGTTGCCGTTTCCTAAGGTACCAGCTGGGTCCATTTTCATTAGGTTTAAAAGGAGGACCATTCTATCTTCTAGGTTAACACCCTCGCAGCAGAGGTTTTGTATTCAACAATTGCAGACTGGGCTCAGCTGGACCAGAACAGCACTGTGTTGGATGTTTGCTGCGGCACAGGAACCATTGGCCTCTCCCTGGCTAAGGTAGGACATTTCTGGCCTCCCAAGGACATGATCTTACAAGTCTAGCAGTGCAACCCGCTGCATTCATTGTCTGTTTATTTTACGTGGCAATCTTACTAACATTTTTATATTGTGTCTTGAAAAAGAGAGTGAAGAAAGTTATAGGAATTGAGCTGTGTCAGGAAGCTATTGCAGATGCCAAGGCTAACGCCCAGTTAAACAGTAAGTACCATTTCCTGTGGTTATTTTGCTTTCAGTTAATTTTATTGATTGTGTTCCCATTTGCACAACATACCTAGAAATAGTTCTTGTTTTTTATTTAAAAAAATATTTCTTAGCTTTCTAGTTGTTTTTTTAGGTAAATGCATAGGACTGCAAGGTATTCTGAACAATTTCAAAGTGTACTTAGAGGTACAGTGCATTGCCATACAGTGTACCACCAATGCCCTAGGATATTTAACCCTTTGTTATGACAGACAGTGTGCACATCTAGTTTACTACTGATAATGTGATCTGCCATCACAGTACAGAGTTCATTAAGGTAAACATAACTTCCCACAGTCCCCTTCAACCCCCCCTCCCCCCTCTTAACATTACATAGAAGGGGAAAACTAAATTTGATTTTTTTTTTTTAAGCAAGTAAAAAGGTAAGCATCACTTGTTAAATATTTTTATGTTATGCTCTGTGAATGGGACCATATAACATATAAATTTGATGTTCTCCCAATGTGACAGCCAAAATGGAAATGCACTACTTAAAGAACTCACTAGGTATTGGGTGCTAGTCACATGACTCGCTTTTTGGGCTTCTGTAGCAACAGTTTGTACAAGATCTAAGGCCTTGCACACACGTGCTTCAGCTTGTATAGAGCAATGTGTATAGCAAGCTTTGAGCAGGTTTGTTTAAGCAGTTAAAGAATTTTTCAGTTCCAGTTAAGGAATGTTACACAGATCTTAATAGCAGTGTTGACTGTCAGTTTAAACAAGCTGCTCGCAGGCATCAACATGCATTCAGCAAGCTTCAAGTAATGCTCAGGCCTCTTTCCCACTTGTGTTAAAATCAGGCATTAGAGAAGTGTTTTTAAAGCCTCTCTGCCGCCTAGTAACGCTCATGTGGGATAATGCAATAGCAGCTGCCCAGTGCAGTTCACACATGAATGATAGCTATGTGTTGTGTTTCTGTGTGTTAAGAGGAATTATGGGGTAAGTGAAAAACACCCTTCCCCATAATTCAAGCCGACCTGTGACACTGAAGCTGTTAAGTTGCTGAACAATACAGCCAACCTGTGACAAACACATACCACCGATTGCAGGGAGAGGATTGAGAAGTCAGTGGAGAGCCGAGCTCCCCACAGGGATTTCCCCTCTCCGATCCTCCAATACTGACTGTAGGAACGGATGGGGAGGGGGCTGGCACAGCAGGCTCTAGAGTCAGCCAGCTGTCAATCAGCCAGCAGGGTGGGTCCTGACAATATTGTTGGCTCTGTGCTCAGCATATAGCGGGCAATACCCTGCTATATACGGAGGTTTGGGTCACCGGAGGACATTAGTAAATGTCCTCCTGTAACCCTAAAGAAAACTATGGCGAAAAAAGGTTAGGCCATAGTTCTCTTTAACAAAAACAAAAAAATAGAGTGCATGTTTCGTTCTGGAGGAATTGCTGCTAGACATATGCAACCGTTGAAGTATATTGCAACTCCCCTTAAACGCTCAGTCAATGCTCCTATAGCATTTTTTTTGGATCTTACTGAGGTCTGCTAGGAGCTTGTTTGAAGTGGTAGCACCCCTATTAACATCTGTCTTTTATTCTTCCCAAACTGGAGTTGAAGTGTTCCTTAAGCTTGAACAAAGCTTGCTAAAAGATCTGGGGATGCTCTGTAAAAGCTACTGTTACACTGCTCTTATACAAGTTGAAAACCCGTGTGACTAAGGCCCGGCTGGTCTGTTTGAAAAAAGAGAGATGAACAGTTGTAACAGCACGGATTACAATTTAATTACATTTGTTTTCACGGAGTGTACAGGAACTACCTATATAGAAAAGCTAAAAATGATTGTGAAGTTGACAATGGACACTATAACAGTCCTGTAGGTAGTACAGTACTGCAGGCCTCCGAATATCTAATCTGCTCATTGCCCAGAAATTCTAACTTTCAATGGATATATACCATGGACCGGCAACCTTCACACTCCAACTGAGGTGCAGCTACAAGTCCAGTGAAGCATTGCAAGACTGTCAGCCACAGGCAGGACTTCCAGAAGCAAAAGCATGATGGCATTTGTAGTTTCACCACTGCTGGAGTGCTGAGGTTTCCTACCCCTGAGATATACATTTAATGACTATGAATATTGTGTTTTGCTTACAGACCTGAGCAATGTTGAATTCCGATGTGGCAAAGCAGAGGACATCTTCCCTAGTTTGATTAACACCCTCATATCTCATAACCCTGTTGCTATAGTTGACCCGCCAAGAGCAGGACTTCGTAAGTAAATGCTTGTTAGTCCCTTGACATAGAATTTTTGTACTTTCATGTTTTATTTTTAGGCAACAAATGATGCATTGGAAACCAATATGAATTACAAAGATGATTTCCATGTTCTTTATGCCGTTGTCTATTTAGTAAAAGGAAAATTGAATATTTTTTTTAAATGTATGAGTGAAACCATACTAGTCTTGGCAAGGAATTTTAAAGAGGACCTGTCATGAGAGATTAGTGGAAGTTACCATCACTGACTTCCTTTTTTTTGTTTTTGAGAATACTAATACATTCTCTGTTATTCTGTCCCATTGTCTTCAGTGTGTCTGAGTCGCTGACCTCATACAAGTATAGAGATAAGGAGATTTGACACTCGGCATGCTAGTTGTGGGTCTGTGACTCAACAGTACTGAATTCAGACACAGCAATGCATCTAGAATTTTCAGGATAAGCCTACAAATGGCAGCCTATGACAGTCACTTTAATTTTCTTTCCTTTAGTATGAAAGTAGAAGTGATAGGAAAGTGGTGAAAATAAGGTCTCATGGAATTTTAAGCCACAATGTGCCAGTATGCACAGCGTTTTAGCACATTATGGCAAACTTGTTTGCCATAGCGATCCCCTCCAGTGCTGCGCTCTTCCCTTGCTGGCACTTCCATCTTTGCCCCAGTCTTCTTCCGGGTACTGAGTCTATGGCTACTTGATTGGTCCTGATGATGTTACCTATGTTCATAGGAGTTACTTCATCTCTGCATGTTGAGCCTGTGCACTGCCGCACATGCGCGGTTCAGTGTACAGAAAAAAATTGCTGACAAGCTCCTAGAAGCTTTTTTTGGCAGAAGGGACTTGCAGTTTTTTCTGCCATAGAAAGCCTGCTCATCAGCAATGTATTTGTACCATATAGTCAGGATTCTTGTATTGGCACTTGTACTTCTTTGTATAGAATTATATCATGGTGTCTGTCACCATTTCATCTGCATGTGTTTAAACTCGCCATCTCTCCCCTCCTCCATTTTTGTTGCTGCATTTGTAGATTCCAAGGTAATTATTGCAATTAGAAGAGCAGAACATCTCAAACAGCTGATCTATGTGTCTTGCAATCCTAAGGCTGCCTTTAACAACTTTATAGAGTAAGTATAGTCCTATCAATGGCTGCAATTGGGGTGATGGGCAATGACCTTCCCTCTATCATCTACAGATAGCCGCTGTGCTGACTCTCATGTAACTCGTAGCTTTGTGGCTGTAGTATTACTTTAAATGGAGTTGATTAGGTTCTTCCTCACTGTCCTGTAACTAGTATGGAGCATGGAAATGCAAGGATGAACTTATTCTCATTTAAGGTATTGCGAGTCATGATGGTTGCAGTTTTAGATCATTTTTTTCCCTTGCGCACTATACATGTACACTATTATTGAATGGTGAAAGGGTTGAGAAATGTGTTGAATATTTGTGTATTTACTGGATCTGTATCAGTTTAGTGAGTCCACTTTTTTTTTTTTCCCCCTCCTCCTCCTTTCCAGTCTATGCCGTGCTCCTTCAAATCGTGTAAAGGGTCGTGCTTTCCGGCCTGTCAGAGCCGTTGCTGTGGACCTCTTTCCTCAAACACCACATTGTGAACTTCTTATTTTGTTTGAGAGAGTGGAGTATACAGAGAATACTGTGGATTCCACCAAAACACAACCTTGTGAAGACATGGAGCTTCAGAAAGACAACAGTATAGAAGCCGAAAACAGAACCGAAGCAAAGCCGCTAGTTTAACTGGATGATTTCTTTCTGCTAAACTGTCCTAAACATTTGTTGTTGAATTCCATATATGTAAATGAAAGTATTTCATTTCCAATGCTAATGTCCCTAGAAAAAGGACCTCCTCACTGTTTGGAGGGCTGGCGGCTTAATTTCCCTGTTGCAGTCCAAATTCCTATACACTAGTTGACCACAATGGAGGAGATGGCTAGTGCAGCACAAACTGTTGAATATTTTTAGGTGGTGACCAACATAACTAAGCAGTCCCCGAAAAATCTTTAAGCCTCACAAATGTAATTTATCATTGTTTTCAAAGAGGCAGCAAGCCAGTTCACCAAAATGGTTTAGACTGTCTGTATTAAAGTATAGACAAACGGCCCACTATATATCAGGTTAGTTGGAAATATACAGAACATGTATGTGCATAAAGTGTATTTAGCTTCTCTAACATAGCTGAACAATATACACCATAGAAACTGTATTAAAAGCAGATATACGTTTCAACTATGTCGTCTGTGTATGTATTAGTCTTACACTGTGTATACACCGCATTCTAACACAGGATTGTATATATTGCACTTGTTGATGAATGACGGCGATAATCTAGCACTTCATTTTTTTTCTTCAATACCTGAAGGTTTGTAATCATAAGTCTGATAAATGTGCATGTCTATAAAGGTTAATTCTATACACAGATTGATATAAGCAGCTCTTGCTGTAAAGGAATACCAGAATATTATACATAGAAAATTGTACAAATTCCTATATTTTTCTTTCAGTTTTATGGCACTGTTATATAAGAGATTAATGTCCCAGTGTTCATGTATTCTAATCAAAAGCAGGATATTGTGTGTAAATAAAATTATGCTGTTGAAATAAAACTAAACATTTTACCTACTTCAGTTGCAATGGAATATCGGTTAAAGAACGAAACATCAGAGGAAGGGGATGCAATGCAATCCGAGAATATGGGAGCTTGCTCTAGTCCTCAGGTAGAAGACTATACACATAACACTGCAGTCTATGGTAGTTAATGCACAGGAACATTAACCACCCCCTGCCCTAGATGTATATAAGATCAGATGACTGCAGCCATCTTCAGATTCTCTATCCAAAATCGTTCTCCTGGCCACACGGTTGTATTAGAACCTCATAGTAGTCTGGAAGGCTATAGAGGTTCTGTTACAGAAGGCAAAGCCAGAAGAAAAAAAAAAAAGATTGTGGTTGAAGCTTTCTATGGAAGTGCAGTTAACTTTTCTGCTGGATCTTTACTAAAAGAACTCTTCTTTTCCCGTCTTTATTCACTGGCTTATATTGCTGCCGTACCAGCCTGAAGTGAATAGCTGAACAGTGTTCGGCTCACTTCACTTCTGATCGGTCATTCACTCGGCTGCCCTCGGCAGCTTTGTGAATAGACCCCATAGTTTCTTAAAAGGGGGGATGGGGTAGAGCTCCATTTGTTAAAATTCCATTCAGAATTCAGGCCTTGATGTTGTTGTTCACCATAAAAAAAAAAAACTGATCTACTTGTGCGTTTCTTTCAGCAGTGGACAGGAAGCTGGAGCCCTGCCCAACATAAACCACCTAAATATTTAGCTAAGCAACTAGCTTAGAGCCTTCCATTGGATAATTTATTTCAGCAACATTAGGTCTCCAATAACTGAGATCAGCTGCCTACCTGAATATACTGAATGACCAGGTTTTCCTATCAATGGATTTGTTCATCCCGTATGACACAGGCATATTACAAAATAACCTATGTAGGCTGATACAAGAGATCTGTATAGCCGGCCAGATCATTTCTACAAAACGAGTTGCGCCTGCTGAAAACAAATGATACTACAGCAGTATCCATGATCTTAGTATAACCACTTCAGGCCGGGATGTATACAGTGGAAGCGATTCTGGCGGCTGAAATGCCGCCAGATCGCTTCCAGTGGCTGATGTAATCTGCATTCCCCCTGCACGTCAACACCCCCCCGTGCCTGGGACCACAGATAATTCTAGGGCCAATATTCACAGATACACTATATTGCCATAGGTATTGGGAAACCCCTCCAAATCTTTGCTGTTCCAATCACCTCCATGGCCATAGGTGTATAAAATCAAGCAACTTGGCATGCAGAGGCTTCTACAAACATTTGTGAAATAATGGGTCACTCTCGGGAGCTCTGTGAATTCAAGCGTGGTACCGTGATAGGTTGCCACCTGTGCAATAAGTCCATCCGTGAAATTTCCTTGCTACTAAATATTCCACGGTCAACTGTTTATTACCCTGTTTCCCCGAAAATAAGACCTACCCCGAAAATAAGACCTGGTACTATTTTTGGGAATTGCTAAAATATAAGACCTACCACGAAAATAAGACCTAGTTGTGACCATTCCCAGGGACGGTGGTGGCATAAGGGGGAACTTGAAGACCCGCGGGAGAGAATCAGGGGTGCCAACAAAGCCAGTGCTGGAGGAAGAAAAGTGGCACCGGAGGGAGCCGATGCCTCCTCTATAGCGCCGGCTCCTGGAGTGATACTAAATGCACTCCGTCTGTGAGGAATCGATAGTGAAAGTGGGCTTTGCTCATTTTGGCCAGCGATTGTTTAGCAAATTGCTCTTGGAAAGGTACCGCACCCCTGATAGCCCCGATCACCATATTTTTGTACATGAATACATGTAGACTGTTGTACATGAAGAAGTGTGGATTGTTGTACATTAAAAAAATAAAAATGAGACCTACCCCGAAAATAAGACCTAGTGTGTTTTTTTGAGCCCCCAAAAATATAAGACAGTGTCTTATTTTCGGGGAAACACGGTATAACAAAGTGGAAGCAACTGGGAACAACAGCAACTCAGCCACTAAGTGGTAGGCCACGTAAAACCTACAGAGCGGGGTCAGCACATGCTGAAGCACACAGTGTGCAGAAGTCACCAACTGTCTGCAGAGTCAATAGCTACAGACCTCCAATCTTCGTGTGGCCTTCAGATTGGCACAACAACAGTGCGTAGAGAGCTTCATGGAATGGGTTTCCATGGCCGAACAGCTGCACCCCAGCCTTACATCACCAAGTACAATGCAAACCGTCGGATGCAGTGGTGTAAAGCACGCCGCCATTGGACTTTAGAGAAGTGGAGACATGTTCTCTGGAGTTATAAATCAATAGCGTCTATTGACGCATTCACTCATTTTGCCTGATGAAGGGGATCCTGTGGGACCCCGAAACGTTGCTTTTTGATGCATTGTGCTATGTTTCATGCGTCAATAAATAGATGCTATTGATTCATTACTTGGAGTGCCGGTGTCTTATCCTGTGATTATAGACGGTTGCCATCCGTCGACTGCCGCAGCACCCGTCTTTTATAAGGAACAGCGGTTTTGAGTGCGATGGGTTCATGGACTGTGTTCTCTGGAGTGACGAATTACGCTTCTCTGGCAATCCGATGGACGTGTCTGGGTTTGGCGTTTGCCAGGAAAACGGTACTTGCCTTTCTGCATTGTGCCAAATGTAACGTTTGGTGGAGGAGGGATTATGGTGTGGGGTTGTTTTTCAGGGGCTGGGCTTGGACCCTTAGTTTCAGTGAAGGGAACTGTTAAGGCATCAGCATACCAAGACATTTTGGACAATTTCATGTTCCCAACTTTGTAGGAACAGTTTGGGGATGGCCCCTTCCTATTCCAACATGACTGCGTACTAGAGCACAAAGCAAGGTCCATAAGGACATGGATGAGCGAGTTTGCGGTGGATGAACTTGATTGGCCTGCACAGAGTCCTGACCTCAACCCGATAGAACACCTTTGTGATGAATTAGAGTGGAGACTGCGAGCCAGGCCTTCTCATCCCAACATCAGTACCTGACCTCACAAATGCACTTCTGGAAGAATGGTCAAACATTCCCATAGACACACTCCTAAACCTTGTGGACGCCTTCCCAGAAGAGTTAAAGATGTTATAGCTGCAAAGTGTGGGCCAACTCAATATTGAACCCTACGGACTAAGACTGGGATGCCATTAAAGTTCATGTGCGTGTAAAGGCAGGCGTCCCAATACTTTTGGCAATATAGTGTATCTCTTAGCTGATGATTTGTAGAGGCTTTTAAATCGTTGCCTATGGACAGCTTGGGGTGCCAAAGCAAAATGTAACCTGGGCATCTTGGATATCTATTTACGTGTCGTTAATAAAAATAGGTATTCTATTTTGTTTTGGGGCACTAAAATTAACTACCACTAAAAATACTAAGTGTATCTTTTACTAAAATTTGGGGTTTCATAAAGAGTTGAGCTAGTATCGTGCAATGTAAAAACTTGAAACTGCCACCATTTTATTTTACAGGGTCTTTGCTTCAGAATATACAGCGCATTCAGAATGTATTCAGACCCCTTTCACTTTTTTCAATTCTGTAATGCTGTAGCTTGATACTACGGTTGTCTACATTCTTTTTTTCCCCCTCAATCTACACTCAGTACCCTATCATGCTGTGGGGTTGTTTTTCAGCAGCAGGGACTGGGAGACTGCTCATGGTTGAGGGAAAGCTGAATGGAGCAAAGTATAGAGATATCCTCAATAAAAACTTGTTCCACAGCACTCAGGACCTCGGACTGGGCCGAAGGTTCACCATCCAACATGACAACGATCCTAAGCACACAGCCAAGACCACACAGGAGTATACTGAAAAATGGCCTGGATGGGAAGGGGGTTTAACACCGCGGATGTCAACTGGTTAAGGAGAACTCTCTGAATGTCCTCAAGTGGCCCAGCCAGAGCCCTGACCTGAACCCTATTGAACATTTCTGGAGAGATCTGAAAATGGCTGTCCACCGACGGTCCTCATCCAACCTGACTAAGATTGAGAGGATTTGCAAAGAAGAATGGCAGAAAATCCCCCAATCCAGATGTGCAACGTTTGTCGCGTCATAACAAAAAGAATCAAGGCTGTAATTGCTGCCAAAGGTGCTTCAACAAAGTACTGACTAAAGGGTCTGAATACTTTAGTACATGTAATATTTCAGTTTTTCTTTTTAATAAATTCACAGACATTTCTAAAATTCTGTTTTTACTTTGTCATTATGGAGTACTGAGTGTAGATTAATGAAAAAAATAAAGAATTGAAACAATTGTAGTATCAAGCTACAAAATTGTAA